CGCCCCCGCGGCGCGATTCCGCCCGCAGATTTGGTCAGAATCGCCGGCGGCGGACGTGCAGAACCAATGGCGGGCGACGGTGGAAGGAGGTGGGGAAAGGGCGCGGTCTGAAATGTCCCTCCCGCCAACCATCTTGTGATACGGGGCACCGTAGGGGCGAGTCGGAAACCTGCGTATTCGCAGGTTGGGCCGAAGTTTTGTCGCGTCCCTCAAAATTTTTTATGGACCGGCCGCATTTGCGAGGTCTGTTTAGGCGGGATTTTTTGTGCCAACCCGCATTTTGACGATTATTTTACGAGTCGGGGCTTTTTATGGAGTCTGCTAGAAATGCTATAAGTGGTCGGTTACAATCCCATCTCACGGAAAAAATTATATGAAACCAGGTCTCACGATTAGCAGGTGAGACCTGCCCTGATGGATGGCACGTGGCATTCACAAATCACAAAGCATTTAATCTCTCCCCCCTGATTTCAGATGGGGGTGGGGTAGATGCTTTGTGATTTGTGAATGCCATGTGTTATCCATCAGGATGGGTCTCACCTGCTAATCCGTGAGACCTGGTCTCATAGAATTCTTTAGATCCGGCTTGCCTGCTCCCTCCCCATACTTCCATCCATGCTCCCACCTCATCCTACGGTTGTCTTTTTTCCTTTTTCCTTTCTAATCTAATTATCTTCCCCCTCATTTTAAGGGGGTGGGATCGAGCCTTATTTTGTTCCAATTAAATCAAGCCACGTATGTGGAAGCATGGATGGGCGCACGCAGAGGACGCACGGGAGGGGAGCAGGCAAGTCTCGTCTCACACTCTTTCCTCTTTTTGGCGCCATATCATCTCCGCAACTGCCGGCTTCCGACTCCCCAGTTTCCCCTCCTCCAAACCCTTCACCGCTCTCGGCGCCGACTGCCGATTCCTCAGTTTCCCCTCCCCAAACCCTTCACCGCTCTCGTCTCCTCAGTTCCGCCGCCGCCGCCATGGCTTCGTCCCCCTGCGACATCGCCCTCAAGGCAGCCCTCGGCGGCCAACTCCGCCTCCTCAAGAGTAAGCGCCGCCTCTCTCTCTCTCTCTCTCTCTCTCTCATTGATGGAACGATGTATGCTCGATTCGTCTTCTTTGTTTCGAACGCTCAAGTGGTGCTTTTTCTGTACGGACGAATTCGAGGCGGGGTGGATGCAAATCTACTAGTACTTTTCTTCCTAATTTTGGGTGGGGTGGTTGCTAGTTTCGTGAGGAAACTTCGATTTGTTCATTGAGGCGGTAAACCCCCAAAAATATTTTCAAGAAAGAAACCCTAGATTTGAGGCCGTGTGCAATCACTTCACGAAATCATTAGGGGAATGCGCTAGCTACACCGGTCTAGAATGATTGTGCTGTCTGACTTGAGTTGCTCCTGCTGTCTCCCCTTCCCAGGAATGGCCAAGAAGGTGGATCTCCGGCGAGCCAAGGACGATAAAGGGCAAACCGCACTTCATTTCGCTGCGGCCAAGGGGTGCCTGGACAGCTGCAAGTTCCTGGTGGAGGAATCAGGGCTTGATGTCGATTCCGCCACGAAAACAGGTATGCGCACCTAGTTGGAATCTTATGCGTCCATAGCAGGAAAATTTGTTTCTGTTAGTACCGAGATGTTGTGTTACCCTTGTAGATGTGACACCGATGTTCTACGCCGCATTTGGGGGAAATGTCGAGGTTATGAGGTACCTTCTCGACCGCGGCGCAGACCCATCCACGGCCGATGACAGGGGCTCTGTGTCATTGCACAATGCAGCAGAGGAAGGTGGTCTTTCTCATTCTTGAGTTCACTTTGAGTCCCTGAAATCAAAGGATTGACATTGCCTACATACAAGGAGCTACTCTTCTGCAGAGGCTCTGGTTCTGATCTATTTGGATTTGCACCATGTTTGTTGTGCCTCCAGGACACTGCGAGGCTGTGAGGCTATTGCTGTTGAAAGGGGTTCATGTGGATCCTATGGATCATCGGGGCACACCATTACACTTGGCGGTTGCAAAGGACCATGTTGAGGTTGTGAAGGTTCTGCTGGAGCATGGTGCTAATGTAAGTTGTCTATTCCACTATCAGATAATTGAATGCAATATTATGAATTGGAAAGGCAAACACGATTAACTGCGTTTCGTTTGGTGATATAATGATTTATTCTTGGGGGGGTGTATCAAATATTTGATGGGCTCATTTAAAAATAATCTTTATGTGATCTAGTTAACTCTTTTCAAAACTATGGCTATTTATCTTTTCAGCCCAACAGAGTGGCTAATCACGTCTTTTCACCACTCATGATGGCCGTCTGTGGAAAGGCCTTGAAATGCATGAAGCTACTGATTGAGGTTCCAATAACTTACAGACTTCATGTATTTTCATATGTTTTTTATGTTTAAATGTGTCCTGATTTTGTTGAGTACCTTGTTTTTTCCTTGTCGGGTGTTTCATGACCGAGTAGCTTGGTTTTTCCTATCACTGAAGGTTTTTTTTTTACTCCTATTCATTAATAGGCTGGCGCTGATGTGAATGTTCATGGTTACTCTGGACCAACTCCTTTAACGGAGGCAGTTGATGATGGCTTAATGGACTTTGTCATGATTTTACTAGAGGCTGGAGCCGACGCTAACATCCCTAACCAGGTAACTATAGCTCTGCCCTTGTCTCTCTGTTTACTAATTTTTATTTTATGCTCTCAAATGAAGTTCATTTAGCAGTATCTAGGATTCTTACTGCCACTGGGATGAATTCAAGAATATCTCGTTTTCTTACAGAATTTTCAGTTAAAAATAGTAATTTGATGATGTTGACCGCTTTATCTTTTCATCCTGGATCATATAACATATTATGTTCTGTTCTATGATATAGCATGGCGCAGTTCCAATTGAGCTAGCAGCAGCTCGTGGTCAACGTGAGCTTGTTGAAATTCTGTTTCCTAAGACAAAACCCATTCCATCTCAGCCAGTTTGGAGCGTTAATGGGATAATGAATACTGCAAGATCACCACGTATCAAGCATCAGGTGTGTAGATGATTTATCAATTACTTCATTCTGCCATAACCTGTAGTCCTGAAGCTGCATGATTGGTTGATATCTTCTATTTCGAACACAGTACTTCCATACGCTGTATTCTCCTTTACAGAGTGAAAAGATCACCAGGCTGTATGCATACTCATGACCTTTGAACATGCATGGACCGACCCATTTTTTGATGTATCACTGGACCTTCAGTTGTTTCCACTTTGATATCCATAGAAGAAAAATGCAACTAAACATGATAAAACGGGGCAACGGTAGCCTGCCTGCAAGCCTGCATTTTCTTGAGAAATTTAAGAACTGGTAAAAGGAAGTACAGTATCATCATAGGGAAGTTACTAAACCCAGTTGTATAGGCACTCTTTAGATATTACTACATACGGACTGAAATGAGTGAACCAACACACTAAAATGATTCTGTATACATCCAAATCATAAAAAAAGTTAGAACAACTTATAATAGTGAACAGTGGGAGTTCAATCTTAGGATGGCGGACGCTAATACATAAATAGATATATGTATTCAAATTTAGTTGGCATTTTGTTTGACCAAGTTTGCAAAGCTAACTGAGGAAACAGTGTGTATGCCTATTATTGAAGGATTACTGACCAAGAACTTTAACTTAATTTTCCAACTGTAATACTTGGCGTGCTGTTGGAACCTGCCATTCACTATGTATGCATGTAACTGACCATGGTACTGGTCCAGGACGCATCTTCTGTGGAACAACGGATAGCTGATTTGAAGTCACGAGGAAAGGAAGCATTTGGAAAGGAAGACTATATTACAGCGATGTACTTCTATGGCCTGGTAAATGCATGAACCATTTAATGATTTAATACATGTTTTAAGACGTCAGATTTGGGGGTGAAGACGGGCTTGTACTCCCTCCGTCCCATAATGTAAGATGTTTTTTGGCACTACACTAGTGCCAAAAAACGTCTTACATTATGGGACGGAGGGAGTAGTTTTTATTATAGTCTTACTACTTAATTCTCTGAATGATGGTTCATTGAACTGGTTGGTTCTTTGTTTTGGAATTTCCAACATAGAATTATGGTCGGCTTATGTGGGGTGATAGTTGGGTGATTACAATGCATTTCCTAGGATAGATCATTCATGATTTTATCTGGGAAGCCCACAACCACTTTTGTTACTCCCTCCGTCCGGAATTACTTGTCATAAAAACGGATAAAAATGAACGTATCTACAACTAAAATACATCTAGATACATTCATTTCTTGGACGAGTAATTCCGAACGGAGGGAGTACATCAGATCAGATGTTAAACTAAAGAAAAGGCAATGATGTGCTTGACAGAGCCTGTTAGATTAATTTACTACTGCACCAACAGACACCTGAAGCTGAGCTCTCTGGTCGTAAATGCAGGTAATGGATATAGACCCACTTGATGCCACCATGTTTGCTAACCGGAGCCTCTGCTGGCTGCGGATGCGAGAAGGGGACAGAGCTTTGGAAGATGCACGGCAATGCATAATGATGCGGCCCCATTGGTCCAAGGCATGGTACCGTGAGGGCAAAGCTCTCAGTTTCATGAAGACGCGTTCCTGAAAGCACAGGAACTGGACCCTAAGAGTGACGAGATCACCAAAGCTCTGAGGTAGCAATGCTGGTCACTCACACACTCACTGCCCTGAATGATTAGGCATCCTTTTTGATGCCTTTGATTCTCGCATCTTGCTTGCAGGGAGGCTGTCAGTGCGATGGAGGAGCTGCGCGTGTGATATAAGCAGCTGCCAGTGCCGGGTCGCTCGGAGAGGAGGAAGAAGAGAACGAGACGGGCTGGCTTTGATTCATTCTCCCATCTCTGTATCGACCCTGCTGTATTTTCCTTGCACCAGATGCTACCCTAGTAGTAGTACTACACTAGGTATTACTGCTCGTGTGTCAGAAGGTGTTGCAGCTGGCTAGCTAACCAGTCCCCAAGCTGTGCTGGATCAGGGGTCTCGATTTTGGTAGGCTACGGCGATGTTTTGTGACAGACGGCATATGCCTGATGGTGTGCTCTGCAATGATATGGTCGTTACCGTTTCTTTTCAAGTTTTCTGTCCTTGTCTGAGAATAGTAGTACTAATAAGGTAAAGAATGCATAGCTAGTGAGGAGTGTTTTTGTACATGTCGTTTGGTTGCAATATTTGTCCATAACGACGTTATCTTAGCGGGTTTGGAGCTGCATGAATTCACCTATCCTTTCTTTGCTATTCTTTGAACAGAGTTTTGCATTCAGCTTTACTCAGTTATGCTCATGGTGTTTTTCTTATCTTCTTGGCATGCCCTGCAATTCCCTGCAATTGTTAGTGCAAGAGGTTCATCTGGATTCTACACGACTACACTAGGTATGTTCTTTTTTTCCTTTCAAAAGGTACTTAGAGCATCTACAACCGGACTTCACAAATTTGACCCTTTATACGTCCATAGGCGTGTCCACGGACATTCTTAGCGTTTGCAGCTGCCCCCTCATATCCGGTCCTGGAATCCATGCACTCATGCAACATGAGATAAACTTAGATCATCAACAAAATAATCATAGAAAGAAACAACAACAACAAAGCCTTTAGTCCCAAGCAAGTTGGGGTAGGCTAGAGGTGAAACCCATAAGATCTCGCAACCAACTCATGGCTCTGACACATGGATAGCAAGCTTCCATCCCCTGTCCATAGCTAGCTCTTCGGTGATACCCCAATCCTTCAGGTCTCTCTTAACGGACTCCTCCCATGTCAAATTCGGTCTACCCAGCCCTCTCTTGACATTCTCTGCACGCTTTAGCCATCCGCTATGCACTGGAGCTTCTGGAGGCCTGCGCTGGATATGCCCAAACCATCTCAGACGATGTTGGACAAGCTTCTCTTCAATTGGTGCTACCCCAACTCTATCTCGTATATCATCATTCCGGGCTCGATCCTTCCTCGTGTGGCCACACATCCATCTCAATATACGCATCTCCGCCACACCTAACTGTTGAACATGTCGCCTTTTAGTCGGCCAACACTCAGCGCCATACAACATTGCGGGTCGAATCGCCGTCCTGTAGAACTTGCCTTTTAGCTTTTGTGGCACTCTCTTGTCACAGAGAATGCCAGAAGCTTGGCGCCACTTCATCCATCCGGCTTTGATCCGATAGTTCACATCTTCATCAATATCCCCATCCTCTTGCAGCATTGACCCCAAATACCGAAAGGTGTCCTTCTGAGGTACCACCTGACCATCAACGCTAACCTCCTCCTCACACCTAGTAGTACTGAAACCGCACATCATGTACTCGGTTTTAGTCCTACTAAGCCTAAACCCTTTCGATTCCAAGGTTTGTCTCCATAACTCCAACTTCCTATTTACCCCCGCCTGACTATCGTCAACTAGCACCACATCATCCACAAAGAGCATACACCATGGGATATCTCCTTGTATATCCCTTGTGACCTCATCCATCACCAATGCAAAAAGATAAGGGCTCAAAGCTGACCCCTGATGCAGTCCTATCTTAATCGGGAAGTCATCAGTGTCGACATCACTTGTTCGAACACTTGTCACAACATTATCGTACATGTCCTTGATGAGGGTAATGTACTTTGCTGGGACTTTGTGTTTCTCCAAGGCCCACCACATGACATTCCGCGGTATCTTATCATAGGCCTTCTCCAAGTCAATGAACACCATATGCAAGTCCTTCTTTTGCTCCCTATATCTCTCCATAAGCTGTCGTACCAAGAAAATGGCTTCCATGGTCGACCTCCCAGGCATGAAACCAAACTGGGTTTTTTTCACGCTTGTCATTCTTCTTAAGCGGTGCTCAATGACTCTCTCCCATAGCTTCATTATATGGCTCATCAGCTTAATTTCACGGTAATTAGTACAACTCTGAACATCCCCCTTGTTCTTGAAGATTGGTACTAATATACTCCGTCTCCATTCTTCTGGCATCTTGTTTGCCCGAAAAATGAGGTTGAAAAGCTTGGTTAGCCATACTATCGCTATGTCCCCAGACCTTTCCACACCTCAATGGGGATACAATCCGGGCCCATCGCCTTGCCTCCCTTCATCCTTTTCAAAGCCTCCTTGACCTCAGACTCCTGGATTCGACGCACAAAATGCATGCTGGTCTCATCAAAAGAGTCGTCTAGTTCAATGGTAGAGCTTTCGTTCTCCCCATTGAACAGCTTGTCGAAGTACTCCGCCATCTATGCTTAATCTCCTCGTCCTTCATCAAGAGTTGGCTTGCTCCGTCCTTGATGCATTTGACTTGGCCAATATCCCTCGTCTTCCTCTCTCGGATCTTGGCCATCTTATAGATGTCCCTTTCGCCTTCCTTCGTGCCTAACTGTTGGTAGAGGTCCTCATACGCCCGACCCCTTGCTTCACCAACAGCTTTGCGGCCTTATTCACCATCTTGTACTTCTCTATGTTGTGTGCACTCCTATCTAGGTATAGGCGTCTGAAGCAATCTTTCTTCTCTTTAATCGCCTTCTGGACATCATCATCCCACCACCAGGTATCCTTATCTTCGCTTCTCCTTCCCCTAGACACTCCAAACTCCTCTGAGGCCACCTTACGAATGCAAGTCGCCATCTTCATCCACACATTGTCCGCATCCCCTCCTTCCTCCCAAGGACCCTCCTTAATGACCCTCTCCTTGAACGCCTGAGCTACCTCCCCCTTGAGCTTCCACCACTTCGTTCTAGCAACTTTAGCCCGCTTATCCCGCTGGACACGAATCCGAAAGCGGAAGTCAGCAACCACCAGCTTATGCTGGGGTACAACACTCTCTCCAGGTATCACCTTACAGTCTAGGCACGCACGCCTATCTTCCCTTCTCGAGAGGATGAAATCAATCTGGCTAGAGTGTTGGCCATTACTAAAAGTCACCAGATGTGATTCTCTCTTTCTAAAGAGGGTGTTGGCTACAATCATGTTGTAGGCTAGAGCAAAGCTTAAGACATCTTCTCCTTCTTGATTCCTGATGCCATAGCCAAAGCCCCCTGCGCCCCTTCAAAACCTGTGTTAGATGTACCCACGTGGCCATTGAGGTCTCCTCCTATGAAGAGCTTCTCACCAATCGGTACACTCCTAACCATGTCTTCCAGGCCTTCCCAGAACTCCCTCTTGGTGTTATCATTGTGGCCTACTTGCGGGGCATACGTGCTGATAACATTGAGAACCAAGTCCTCAACTACCAACTTGACCAGGATAATCCGGTCCCCACGTCTCTTGACGTCTACCACTCCATACTTGAGGCTCTTGTTGATCAAGATGCCTACGCCATTTCTGTTTGCAGCCATCCCCGTGTACCATAGCTTGAAGCCGGTATCCTCCACCTCCTTCGCCTTCTGTCCTCGCCATTTGGTTTCTTGGACGCAAAGGATATCAACACCTCTTCTCACCGCTGCATCAACTAGCTCCCGAAGTTTCCCTGTCAGAGACCCTACGTTCCAGCTACCTAAGCGAATCCTCCTAGGCTCGGCTAGCTTCCTTACCCTTCGCACTCGTCGAGTCAAATGCGAAGACCCTTGCTCATCTTCCACTACATCCGGGCGCTGATGTAGCGCGCCACTAAGGATGCGACGACCCGATCCTCGCTCACTTGCCACTGTATCCGGATCAAGATACGGCGCGCCACCTGGGGGGGTGACGGCCCGGCCCTTGCCCATTTTCCACCACACCCGGGTTCTGATGTGGCGCGTCGCTGAGAGGGTTACGCCCCAACAAAAATCTTTTGGGTTTCATCTCCATAAGAGTGGCTGAGTTTTTACGTTGGCTCGCCAAGCCTATCACAACCCTCCTCCTTTACCCGGGCTTGGGACCGGCTATGTTGAGACAACATAGGCGGAGTTAATCATAGAAATAAACAAACATAGATAAAATTCACAGACATAGCAAAAGTTCATCACCAGACATGTACAACTGGACCAAAAGAGGCGGTTCATCACCTAACACTAGATAGGATACTAGAATAAAAACAGAGGGGCGCTGAACTTCACTATTTCTGTGCCAGCCCTTGCGGTCACCAGAGTGGCGTTAGTTGTCCTTCGCGAAGGCGTCCGTGGTCGCACGGGCGTCGTCGTTGTTCATGCTCTTTGCGCCATTGTCATCGGAGGAGAATGAGATGAAGCCTGTGAGACCGCGGGCGGCACGGTGATGCTCCTACGTGAGCCGGATCACTTTCGCATCGCCGGCCACCCTCTTCGTAGTGAGCCGCTCGGACTCCTCGATGTTGAGCCATAGCGCTTTCATGGTCTTGCGGCAAAATATGCTAACTAGATTATTGACTCTAGTGCAAGTGGGAGGCTATTAAAAATATGCCCTAAAGGCAATAATATTTTGTTATTATATTTCCATATTCATAATTAATAGTTTATATTCTATGTTATAACTACTATGATTCTGGAATATGTGATTCAGTGGAAAACTCACGTGTAAAATAATAAACGGTAAGACCTGATTACTAGTCTCGCCTCTAAGACTAGCTCAAGTGTTATTCATGATCATGTTTTTCAGATCTTAGAATGTTGTTAAGTGTAATGATAGTCCTAAAAAAACATTGAGAATATGACATTGGA